CAGCAGCATTAACAACGACTATGGACTCAGTCACCTCACTGCCGCCAATCCAGGCCGCCGATCGCGCCGGAGTCACAACTACAAAGACGACGACAACCATAACCACAGTTACTACAACCACCACGACCACGTCTCAGGATACGACTGCCTTCACGCCATTCCGGTTCCTCGATTTGCCTGTTGAACTTCGAGTCATGGTGTATGAAGAGCTAGTGATTGTTGGCAAGGTCTTCTATACACCCGACGCCTACGCTGCCGAAAACGAGGAACGCTTCAAGGACTGGGAGTCTTATCGAGTTAGTAATACCCATGTACGGACTGTATGTGAGACAAATACTGACTTCGTACACTCATCTTTAGGTTCCGTCTTTGGGTATCCTCCGCACTTGCAAGCAGGTTCATGGCGAGGCTGAGGAAGTCTACCTAGCCAACAACTTATTTGTACTACCGGATGAAAGCACCAAAAGACAGCCATTTGTAGGAACAGGTCTTTGCCACAACACTAAGAGCGTGGATATCACCCGCACGCATGTACCCTTCCCAGATCGGTGGCTCTTCTCAGCTTCAGCTCCCCGTCTGATCAAGAGTATCAGCATGGGCTTCAGTTGGCGCTCTATCAAAGGCTTTCCCGTTCTCGATCGTTCCACTTGGAAAAAGGAGGCCGATTTCGACAGCCTAGCTCCCGCGGCTCGTCTTCAAATTGCGCATGAGAGAGCTCTGAGTTATCTGAACGGTGATTTGGATGGTTACATCGAGGACCTTTATCGTTTCTTCAAATACGGTGGGGGCCCAGAGTTTAAGCGTATGAACTACCTAGAGTTTGATTTGACGAATGCGTTCTGTCCGACAGGATGCTGTCGTATGGCGGAGCAAAATTGGGCGCAGATGATGTTTCTTGGACCGAGGAAGACAGGTTTTCTGGGGGTGCGGAACGAGCAAGAAGCGGACATCATCATGGTTGAGGTATACGACACCGTCCACGGCAATTATGGTGCACTGCACGAGGATTACGAAGGAAAGCTCGAAGTGGATGTGGATGGGATTGAAAAGTTGTTTGGAATTGTTTTCAATCCAGACAAGACGCACTGGGAGCAGTGGAAGGTTGAGACTAAGTAAGTAGCGGTAGCACGGAGCACGTCAGCCTAGGAAAAGACCGAACACCCTGGAGCCTACATCAAGGTAAAAACATACAGAGTAGGTGGGCCAAGGTCAACGTAGGCTCCAGGGTGTTAAGCTTTTCCATTGTATGAGGTGGGAGGACATGATCACGCTGAGAGTATCAACAACAGTTGACAATCGCGTGGCTGGTATGATGTTAGCATGAAAACCAGATGGGGCGTCCGGTGGGGTCTAGAGGAGAGTCCTGTCTATCACAGTACGGCGCAATGTAAGCTGGACTTGTCTAAGCCATAGTCAATGCATTGATCATCAGTTAATACAAAACCTTAGTGGCGAATAGCAGTACACATTTAAGTAAATTGCTCTCTATGCTCATCATGTCCTCTCGGTGGGCATGCAAGCAAGACGAGTCTCTATCTCCTGGGTCGCAAATACCCCGTCTCGATAAGCCTGTAGAAGGGCGGAGCTAGAATGATGAAGGCTGGTGAGGTTAAGCACAACGACAAGCAGAGCCATCACAACACTCCAAACGATACGACACTTCAATCAGAAAAAAAGCCCTGCCTCTGCATTTGTATTATACGTCCTAGAATGTATCTATGCGTGCCACAACCTCGCGACGGCCTCGGTAATACCAACGTCATTTGTCTCGAATGAATAGAGCGCAAGACCCAATGCGACAGTACCGGCGCGGAGAGCCCACATGGCGGACTTTCGAACGAGGGGAACACGCTTGGTGGGGAAGTAGTCGATGATGCAGGACCTGTGATATGTTAGCCACTGTAACTCAAGATACAATTTCGATCTACATACTCAAATCCAATATGCGAGTGGACTACCAGGAGAGCGCAGAGAATCGAGTCGGACAGCGGGTTCAGCGATCCAGCAGCGAAGGGCGCAATGGTCAAGGGAATCAGACCGGCCGAGACGATCCTCTCAAAGCTCCAGTGGTAGCTGCCGTGGGCGTAGTCGGGGTCTGGCACGGGGACGGGGTCGTTGGTGGTTCCGATGATCTTCTGGGGCAGCGGCGGCAGGATCTGGTTGCGCTGTGTGGCGTGGAAGGCGGCGATGCGGGTCGACTTGGGGATGGCTGAGCGCTGGAATGCTGGTCGCAGCGACTGGACGAGCGGGCGGTTGAGGGTCGAGGTTACGGTGGACAGCATGCGCTGCGAGGGCTGGGCGGGCGGGCAAGCTTGCCTGAGGAGGCCGGGACGCATGACGGAGGCCATTGTTTGTCTGCTTGGGGTCGTGGAGGTCGCAAGAAGCAATATCGGGATCGCAGTCGTAGTTGACGACAATGCCTCGGATGTCGATTGCTGACGTCCCTGCCGCCCTCATTGGCCAGCGGTGGCAGCCGGAAAGTCCCGTGATCGCAGATTTGACGAAACTCATCCACCTCACCTAGGCCGCGCTGCAGCTGGACGTATCGACATCCACCCCAACCCATCACCGCCCCATCTCCCATCCCCTGCACAGCGAGCAGACGCAATGGCTTCCCGCCAGCTCGCCCTCAACCTGCAGCGCAGCATGCGCTCGCGCTCCGCCATCAACGCCGTCAAATCCTCGCGGGCCTCGCCTCTGACCCGCGGCCTGGCCACGCCCGTGGCCTACGGCGCGAAGACCGAGTCGACCACCCTCGGAAACGGCTTCACGGTATGCCCGCCACTGTACGAGGATGCAGGACTGCAATTGACCCGCCTGCGCAGATCGCTACCGAGCACTCCCCGTGGGCCCAGACTTCGACAGTCGGTGTCTGGATTGACGCTGGCAGCCGCGCCGAGACGGACAGGACCAACGGCACTGCCCACTTCCTGGAGCACCTTGCCTTCAAGGTACGGACACTCAATGGCAATGGCCGGGACAGCACGCTGATGCATGGCACAGGGAACCCAGAAGCGCACACAGCAGCAGTTGGAGCTCGAGATAGAAAACATGGGCGGCCACCTCAACGCCTACACCTCGGTACGTCATACGGAACGAAGAAGTCCCAGGGCCGGATACTGACCAAAACAGCGCGAGAACACCGTCTACTACGCCAAGGCCTTCAACAACGATGTCCCCGCCGCCGTCGACATTCTCTCCGATATCCTCCAGAACTCCAAGCTCGAGGCCCAGGCCATCGAGCGCGAGCGTGATGTCATCCTCCGCGAACAGGAAGAGGTGGACAAGCAGCTCGAGGAGGTTGTCTTCGACCACCTACACGCCACCGCTTTCCAGGGCCAGCCCCTCGGCCGCACCATCCTCGGACCCAAGGAGAACATCCAGAGCATCCAGCGCGCCGACCTCGAGAACTACATCAAGACCAACTACACCGCTGACCGCATGGTCCTCGTTGGCGCTGGTGGCATCCCCCACGAGCAATTGGTCGACCTCGCCGAGAAGTACTTCGCCAACCTCCCCTCAGAGCCCCAGGACTACTCCGCCAAGTCCGCCGCCGCTGAGCAAAAGGCAAAGCCCGACTTCATCGGCTCCGAGGTCCGCCTCCGTGACGACACCATGGGCACCGCCAACATCGCCATTGCCGTTGAGGGTGTCAGCTGGAGCGACCCCGACTACTTCACCGCGCTGGTCACACAGGCTATCGTCGGTAACTGGGACCGTGCCATGGGTACCTCCGACTACCTTGGCAGCAAGCTCAGCAACTTCGTCTCGCAAAACGCCCTCGCCAACAGCTTCATGAGCTTCTCCACCAGCTACTCGGACACTGGGCACGTCATAATCGAATGATTTCTATAAATATTCGCTAACAAACCTAGTCTCTGGGGAATCTACCTCACCAGCTCCAACCTGACTCAGCTCGACGACCTCGTCCACTTCACCCTCCGCGAGTGGTCCCGCCTCTCCATGAACGTCACGTCCGCCGAAGTCGAGCGCGCCAAGGCCCAACTCAAGGCCTCGATCCTCCTCGCCCTCGACGGCACCACGGCCGTCGCCGAGGACATTGGCCGCCAAATCGTCACCACCGGCCGCCGGTTATCACCCGAGGAGGTGGAGCGCGTTGTCGGCCGCATCACAGAGAAGGACGTTATGCAATTCGCCCGCAACAGGCTGTGGGACAAGGACGTCGCTGTCTCGGCTGTGGGCCAGATTGAGGGTCTGCTCGATTACAACAGGATTAGGAATGATATGAGCAGGATGCTTTCATAAGCAAGCCGAAGAAGGAAGGGGATGAAGGAAGGGAGGAGAGAAGAGGAAATATGTGCATAGTAAGATGATTGCTGTGAAAGCGTTTTTAGACGGCATAGGTTACTATTGTAGTTTTTTGTATGAAGTACTCTGGTTGATGATGTATTTTGACAAGGAAGATCTTTTTCAAAACGCTCGTTGCATGTGGATGAAGTGCACATGGGTTCAATTATGTGGTCGATGTCGAAGTAGAAGAAAGATATGGACTTGTTCTTGATTCAGGCAGACTGGGTTAAAACGCACTCTCTTCTTCTTGTGTTCTGACACAGTTTACTGCTCCTCGCTTGAGATACGGAAGTCCCGCTCTTGCTTGCGATTCTTGCCTCCTTTGGGAGCCGTTTGCAAATAAGCGGATATTTTGCGGAAGCCTCGTTGGTCAAGTTGACCTTGGTTGTGTGACAGGGGATTCACATTGAGCCATGAAAACGGAAGAGGTGATATAGTTTCTCTTGATACAGGCCTATTGTTTGTCTAGTCTGCATGTTCAAGTGGGGGACGCCATCACCTGGCCATGAGGCTATCACATCTTTGCAGAGAATACCGTGTAAGAGAAGGTCTAATCTAACAGCAAACAAGCCTGCGCATTCGGCGGTCGAGGTACGGGGTCTAGCCTTTCCGTGTATAAGATATGGCCGGGTCTTGATTTCTAACTTCCTACCTCTTGTTTTACCCTCATTTACGCTCCCAATCCAGTCATGGACAGAACCACCGCCGTCGCCATCATGGCAACTCTCACTGCAGGTTCGATGGTGGCACTCGAGTACCTACGGTGGTCTGAATCGCGACAGAAGTCCGAAGCAATCTTGGCCTCTGCTAAGATTACACCAGAGGTTTCTGCAGCACCTTCCGATAAGCAAGACAAGAGCGAGGATAAGAGCGAGGACAAGAGCGAGAAAGAGAAACAGATCGATATATCCCCGGACCGAAGCTCGATGATTACCAGGAACAATGAAGATCAATACTTGCTCGGTGCAAGACTCGTCAAGTCACAGTACGACCAACACTGTTCGTGCGATGAGCACGCGGAACACCTGTACTTCAACTGGCCATACTCTTGCCACATTCAACACAAAAAGGATGATGTCGTCGTCAAAGTCGGTTCGAGGCCCAAACTAGACGGCGGTTTCGGAAATCCACCTTACGAGAGCCTATCACTTGCCAAGTGTACCATCGAATACTTCTCCAGGGCGCAGAAAGACATGGACAAGAAACAAGAGAAGGCACTTGATCAATGGAAGTCATCCTGGGAGCGCACTCGTGCACTTGAGATGTTGGCCAAGGAGGACGTCCGTGGCAAAGAGACGGACTTTCTTACGACGTGGATGGTTGAGCAGCTCAACGAGTTGTTCTTCTTTGGTGCTATCAAAGACCTTGAGGTTCACTGGAACACAAAAGAGCTGGACAAACAGGACGGATTGTTGGGCGATGCCGCTGTCAAGCCCAAGGATGGACATGACCGCTCCACCATCCGGCTGCATCCAACCCGCCGTTGCTACATCAAATCCGAGTATGTACGTCAAGGCAAAACACTCGCTGAAGAACGCATTGGTTGTATCTTACACGAGCTGTTACACATCTTTGTCGTGCAGTATATGTGTGATTACTGCACGAGGTGGGAGAACCGGCTCTCTCATGGACGAGCCTGGCAGCGCATTGCGAAGGCTATCGAGGAACAGAGCTTGCGCTTGTTGGGCGTGGAAGTCGACATTGGTCGCTTGGACGCTATGCTTGCTGATAGGCGTGAATGGGACGATACTCGTAATAGTCTGCATGACTTGGAGTCTTGGGGATTCTGGAAGCGATAGGTTCACAACGACTGGTGGCCAAGGAAAGACCATGGACATTAGATGGTGAGTGCATTGGTCTATGCATTCGACAGAGCAAAGGCGTTGTATACTGCCCAGGTGGTCAATGTATGTGATTGTGTATGTATTTTACTTCGATGAAAGACCAGTTTTGTATCAGAATCATTACTGCATTGAACATATCGATTGCTCGATACGGACTGGTTGACATGTCCAGCCTTGCCCCGCCTCAGGGTTGTACGCACTTTCCCTGCCGATAGATCCGCCATCCAGGATTCAATGTAATCAGGGTCCTAACAAGGTTCTAGACCTCAGCTGAACACGAACACGCGATCGCAACATTCTAGACACTCATCAACTTTGCTTTCAGCAGTTTCTTCCTCTCGTTCACGCCACGGGTCCATTTTCCTGGTTGCGGCTGACGCTATGACGTCGCCGCCCTGTGCTCCGCGGTGCTTGTTCGATGAGCAAACGTAACCAGCCGTGCCAGCGTACTTGGAGAAGGGCACAATGGCAGCCTCTACAGACTCACCTGTTGTCACTGAACCTGAGAACCCGACTTAAATGCGCACTTACGATCGATACAACATTGATCCATCGTCACATACCTGCTAATGTAGCCTACGCACGTCGCGCTTGACTAACTGAGGCATAGCGCCACCATGGACATCGACAAAGAGTTCCGCCAGGTCGATGAGCTCGATATTGGACTGGATCGGTCACATATCACGTATCAAGGTCAGATCGAAGTAACCGGAAGTCGCTCCGAAAGTAGCAATGACGACACACCTCACCTACACGATTCGTCGCCTGTATCATCCACTAGTAGGATAGTCAACAAGGTTCGCCAAAAGAAGCACATCGCCGGTGTCAAGATCAGAAAGACTTTGCATATTGCAAAGGCTGAAGATGAAATCGATGAACCTGATCCTGATTCGCTGGTGCTGGTCGATACGACGGAAGGAAAGCAGTCGAAGTCACGTCTTGACCACAAGTCCACCGCCTCAGAGAAACATACTTTCAAGGACCTCTTGCATAATCCGATTGATACGGTGAAATATAAGGGATGGTGTCAAGGTAAGAGACCTTTGTTTCAGATGTAAATGCGAAAGCCAGGAGGAATACGCATGTTCCCACCGCGCCAGATCGAGCAGAATCTCACCTTGACGCGGATAATACATGGTTTACTGACAGAAGACTTCCAGGAAACCAAGAAGTCGCAGCAAACATAGCTGTGAGCGAAGTGCCTCATGGCCAGGAAGTGGACTTGGTCAATGCCGCGGCTGCGATAGAACAAGCTACGACTACGGATGCGAAGGCGCAGGCCCAGCAAACTTTCGCTGACATGCTCAACCAAAGACAGAGCATCTATGTCAGATGGTCACTAGATCGGCATGTGACAAAGATTAGGGTCCTTCCTCGAGACACCGCGGTGCTCAAGCCAAGATCTGATTTCGAGAAGCAAGATGCCGCAGGCCGCGGCTTCACTGACTGGAGATCATATGGTTCGCACTTATTGGACTACTACGCTCACCGATACGGAGGTCAATATATAGGCTACGGATCCGACCCGCCGACCCCTAGCAAAGAGACAATCATGCCGAATATCGAGCGACTTATCGTTGCGACATCGCCTTTCCAGGAGTTCATCATGACCACGCGCCGCGTATACCGCTGGGATAAGCCTCTCGAGACAACAAAGTACTTGGTCATCTACCTCGTCCTTTGGTATTTCAACCTACTACTACCAGGCATGATGTCAGCGCTACTGTACCTGGTCGTCGAGCGACGCTGGCACGGACAGTCCATCCAAGACCTCCGCGAAGACATTGAACACAGAGAAGACGTGGAGAGAACGGCATTATCACTTACCGAATTCATCGAGAAACAGGGCGACGAGAACTGGGCACACGATCTGCTTCAAGACCTTGGCCCTTGGCTTATGGTTCAGCTAGCCGACCTGGCCAACTTCTTCGAAAGCGTTCGTAACTTCTACGAGTGGAGAAAGCCAATGCGAACGCTGGCTGTTATCGTCGTTATGACTGTCGCCATTCTCATCACGGTCTTCACGCCTCTTTGGCTAATCATCAAGATGTCTACGTTCTCTGCTGGTTTCACCTTCTTCTGCCTCTTCCCCATCTCGGTTAACTTTCCGAATTACCGCCTGCTTGTCTCGCCTTCTAAGCGGCTGCTCTGGAATATCCCAACGCATGCTGAATGGGCAATTCAGTACATACAAGCCGAAGGTCTCCGTGTAGTCACCGAGAAGCAAAACACCAATGCCAAAGCAACGGATCTAAAGTACAAAAATGATCTCAACGACTCTGCCTCACCAGTAAACCAAGACTTCGCCTCCTACCGCTCACAGTTCGATAAAACGCCCGGACACCTTGTCATCAACGCAACAGGAGTGCGTTTCGTCGCAAAGCGTCCGCCACATGAAGTCCGCTTCTCGCTGCCATATGTACAGATCAACCAACTGGAGAAGCAAGACCGATATGTGGAGAAGATGATCAAGGTCCTCAAGGAATGCGATAGAGATCTGCGTTTTCTGGATAGGAATGGCCATGAATGGATCTTGCATGAAGTCGAGAAGAGAGACGAGGCGTTTAGTCAGATAGTCGGATTCAGTCGAACAACATGGCAGGTTTTATGGTAGTACAGTCCCATCTCTGAACACGAAAACCAGTCTCATGAGAAGTCTTTCTATAATACAAACTTTACCCCCGATCAGCACAATCAAACCTTCTCAACCCCACTGCCCCCCTCCACACCCACAATCGTAGCCTCGCCATTCCCCAACGTCTCCACCAACCGCCTCGGCCCAACATACCCCCTCTTCCTTATCCACACATACCAGCCCCCAAGTAAAATCGTAACCCCGCCCACCAACGCACTCGTATAATTCATCGTCGTAGTATCAAACGGCACCGCGAACGGGAAGCAGTATATCGGTATCCACACAACCATATACCCACACGCTATACTCGCAACCATGTAAAACACCGGCGTGGGCATCGTGAATGGGCCGGAAATGACGTGGCGGCGCCGAGTGAGGATGTTGGGTAGGATGAACGCGAGGTACGACATCGACGATAGCACGATGAAGGAACCTACGAAAGCCGAGAACGCAGTGCTGGACCCGATGTAAATGCAACCGAGGACCGTGTTGATACCCCCACAAGCCAACGTCGCATTAAACGGATTCTCCCACTTCCTATCCACCTTACCCACCCACTTGCTAAACGGCGTCGCGTCATCTCTCCCTAGTGTCCAGAGCATGCGGCCGGAAGTAATATAACATCCGATATTCGTGCAGAACGTGGGCACGAAGATGACGAGTAAGAGGCCGAGGGAGCCGCCGTGCGTGTTTGTGGCCTGCCGGTAGAGCTCGGCGAGGGGAAAGGGCCAGGGGTTTGAGAAGAGACTGTCGAGGTCGTTTACGGCGTAGAAGATTGTGATGAGGTAGAGGAGGGCGGTTAGGAAACCGACGGTGTATTGCGCGAGGATGGCTTTGGGGATGTTGGTGCGGGGGGAGGGGAGTTCTTCGGCGAGGTGGGATACGCAGTCGCTGGAGTGGTTGTTAGTATGGCATTTGTAATCTTTGGTTGGTTGGTTATTGAGATGGGGGAAAGGAAGGGGATGGTAGATGGATGGGATGGGATAAAACTCACGGCGTCCCCACAGCAAAAGCCCCATTCAACATGCCCGCGCAAAACACAAAACCATCGCTCTTCCACCCGGCCTGGTTCTGCCAGTCTTTCCACACAAACTCGTTGGTCGCGTACCCTTTTCCGGTTCTACTAGGCATGATGGCGCAGACCATGATGGTAACAAACACACCCATGAGGATGAAGAAGAGACCGATATTCGTTAGTTTGGGCAGCGCGCGATTAGCGAACATGACGACGAAGCAGGCGAGCCAGGTGATGATGAGGTAGGCGATGAAGACGTGCCAGCGCTCGAAGGCGTAGCCGGGGTGGAAGAGACCGTACATGGAGATGATTTGGTTGGCGAGGATGGAGGAGATGGATGCTGTGCCGAAGATCCAACCTAGGGCGTTCCACCTGGGTGTGTTAGTTGTGCTCTTTTCTTATATCATATTATATGTTGAAGTGGGTTGAGTGATACATACCAGCCAGCGTAGAACCCTATCACCTTTCCGAACCTAGCCCCGCCTGTGACGGAAGCCCAGTGGTATACACCCGCTGATGAGGGAATTGCAGATGCCATCTCTGCGATACACGCCGCGATCATGAAGTAGCAACATGCCACGGCGATGAATTCGTAGATGACACCTGCTGGGCCGCCATTGTAGAGCGCAATGACCTAGATAAGGTTAGTATTCTGTATACCATGAATCCGTACCAGAGAAGAAGGTAGACGCACGATAGACCCTCCCAACGCAGCCCAAACATTCCCCGTCGTAATTCCAATCGCACAGATACTCAACAAACTGAAATTCCTCTCAAGTTCTTGTTTGTGGCCCGACGCGTTCAGGACTTCGCCAACGCCTGTCGCTTCATCGATATCCTCCGGTCTTGGCTTCTCAGCAGACTTCTTTTCCAGATCCATCTTCGGAAGTGGTAGTACAGCGTGAACGATACGCCAGTAACTGTGAAAGTTTTGCTATTGCGACGTGATGCAATGCGTATGCAGGAGGTCGTTGATGACTAGGATACACGCAAAAGCGATAAGTACCGTCGCAACGTCAACAACCGTCCTCTCTGCCTAGACACGGCCAACCGGAGATTAATACCACCAATCGATCAAGTCCAAGCGAGCGAGCAATCGAGTGGACTCGCCGTGTCGATCGCAGATCAAACGGTCCTACGCGGGAATCGTACAAGCAAACGTCCCGCCCAAGAGATAAGGAAGCAAAGAACGATGGCGAAAAAAAAGGACGATGAATCTGGCTGAGAAGAGTGTAACGACACAGAGGAAGAAGGAAGGAAATGTGCAATTCACATCTTACTCTTATGACGGCCCGCGACTTCGCA